TCACTCCTGTAAACACGGGCACGGTGTTTGTGCCCTTGTGCGTCTATGTCACCTGCGCCTCTCCCTGGCCACCGTGGGGGCTGGCAGGGGGCCCTTCCTCCATCCCCGCAGCAAGCCCCCTAGGTCACTGCGAGCTGCGGCTGGCTCTTGGCCAGGCTGGGGGCTACCCCCGTGGACTAGCGTCAGCAGGCCTCGCTTTCAAAGTAGCCGCATGGTCCTCCTGAGGCTCCCTCCGCACGCGGGAAAGGGCCGACCCGCGGCTGGGAGGGCAGAGAGCTCTCGAGGCCCGTGTCCCCGCCTGCCAGCTCAGGGTCTCCCGGCTGCATCCCGAGGACACCCCCGGGCCAAGCCGGCCCAGCCCCGAGGGTGCGCACATCACCGGTTCCCCAGGCGGCCGTGTTGGGGCGGGGTGTGGTGGCCCTGGGAGGGACCCCGCCCGAGGGACTCCACTCGGCCAGCAGTGGGGACGGGGCAGCACGAGGAAGGGGCAGAGGACGCAGGGCCGAGACCGGCCAGCTATGAGCGGGCCTGGGAGGCGGGCGGCCAGTCAGGGCTCAGAGCAGGGCGCACGGAGGGAGGAAGGTGGCTTTATTCTCTCCATCCCGCAAGGCCCGGTCCACGTGCCCACGTGAGCCGACAGCGCGGGGACCCGGGCTCCCTCCGCGACGGGCTCCCTCCGCGATGCCCACACAAAGGTCACTGTGGGGCGTCAGGGGCGCACGCGGATGCCCAGGACTGCGCCCGGGAAGTCCCCGGCGGGCGCCACCTGCATGTCCCCGAAGCCGTGCTGCTCCAGCAGGCGCCGGCCCTCGCCCAGCGTCCAGTCCCTGCCCGGCGTCTGCACCAGCAGGTCCAGCTTCGGCCTCAGGCCACGCCGGGCGGCCCCCGGGTCCTCGTCCAGGGCAACTTCCGCCAGCAAGAGGCCGCCTCCTGTGGGGACAGACAGGGGCTGGAGTCGTGGGCCACCTCGGGGGTCTGCACAAGGGACAGTGCCACCGGGGCCCTGGGGTCAGCAGGACAGGACGCTGGGCAGGGACACGGAGGGCGCAGGGCCCGGGACGGGGACGGGGGACAGGTGGGGCGGAGGGTAGGAGACAGGGGCAGAGGAAGGTGACAGAACACAGGCAAGGACGACGGAGTGACAGGCAGACAGCGACAGATGACAGGGACCGCGACAGGGACAGCTGTACACAGGTGGGGGCGACAGGAGACAGGTTCAGAGAGGGACGGTGCATCCTGAGGACGGCAGAGGGACCGGGTGGGAGGGATGGGTATGGACAGGGACGGAAATGACAGTCGCGTGCGTGACAGGTGACAGGGTCCCTAACATAGGGAGACACGTGATGGCCAGCCACAACAGGGCCACAGTGGGGAGAGGAGGAGAGGACCGGATTGACGCGGTGAGAGAGGGGAGGCCGCGGGCAGGGGACACGGGCAGCGGGCGGAGGGTCAGTAGCGCTGCTGGCAGGTGGGCGGGGCCTCTTGTGGGAGGGGCCTTGTGGGCGGGGCCAGGTCCTGAGGCTCCAGCGCTTCGGGAACCCAGGGCAGCCGGGGCTGCAGCACGTGACCCTCGGGGAGGGGAAGCTGGACACGGGAGGTCAGTGGGTGGCCCCTGTGGACAGCACGAGGGAGCGGGACGCGGCCGGCCACAGCACAGGGTCCTGGCAGGAGCCGCGGCGAGAGCGGGGCACAGGAGGGGCAGGGGGTCCCCGCCTCCGGGAGTGCCCAGGGTAGGAGGCCCGAGGTGTCGCTGGCCAGCGCTGGCCGCTCCTCCGTAACTGCAGGGGGCTCCCAGCCCTGGACACCCCGGATCGCGGGGCACAGGCCCAACCAGCAGCTGTGCGTCGCCCGGAACCGCGGTCCCCGCTGCTCAGCGGAGGACTCCCGGCCCCAGGACGGGCGATGGCCAGGGGCCAGCCACGGCCACAGGGCCACTGTGCACCCAGGCAGACCCCGGGACAGGGCTGGGCCTTTGAAAGGCCAAGGTGACATCCTGGGCTCTTGGTGACCTTCCTCTGTCCTTGGGGTCACTAGTGTGTCCCCTGTCCTGTCCAGGGAGGGCAGGTCTGGACCCGAGCGTCCAGCAGAGCCCAGCCACTCCACAGCAGAGCACAGCAGTGTGGCTTTGGGACACACAATCCTCAGAGCCTCGTCACCCATGTCACCACGGTCCTGGAGTGAGGCAGGGCTGGGTGGCCGCCTGTCCCCTGTGAAATGGACCCTGGGGTGGGCTGACCCCTGCTCCAGTGGCCGACCCTCTGGGTGGGAAAGGGGACCCGCTCTCACCCGGCCGGCAGCACCCTGCGACCCTCCTCAGCAGCTGGTGGACCTTGTCGTCCGGCCAGTCGGGCGGCAGGCGGGGCAGGATGTACAGGTCAGCCGCGGGCAGGGCGTCCCTGGACGGGTCACCTGGTGGAGAGGCAGCTGGGACCACAGACGCGGCCTGACTCCCCCCCAGGGTGGCTCCAGACCTCATGTCCCCAGGGGGAGAGGGACACGAGGGTCGTCCAGGCTCCACTGGGGGCTCCAGCCCAGGGCGGGGACACGGGACGGGCGCTTGGCCAAGGTGGCC